TGACAAGCAGCAGCAACCTACACACCAGCAGGCATCAGAACCACCGCAAGCAGCACAAGCAGCCCAGTCTCCACCAGCAGTGCGCATAGAATATCCTTCCAGCGTTCCAGAACAGCGCACACCACAGGCAAGTGCAGCCACACAGCATTGTCCAAAGTCATTGATTTTCTCTGGTGTGGAGTGGCAAACCAGTGAGGTTAGTGCGTTAAAGAAGCTCTTCAAAGCTGTTCAGCCTGAAGCTGATGAGAACTTGGTCTTTGACACAGTTGACCCATTTGCAGAAGCAAAAGCAAAACAACAACAAGTAGAAGCGTTGTCAGAAGAAACCGCAACAGCAGTAGCGCACTCGCCAGAGCCAGCTACAACTGCTTGTGAGGCCAGCGCTCTGAATAGCAGTGGCACAGACAATATAGCCACCCAAAATTGTTTTGTGCTTCGATTGCCTGGAGAGTGTTTGCAGCACCTCTTCAGCAAGTCCTACCAAGCCAACAATAAGAGCATCATACTCAGCTGGAAGCACAAGCTTCTCAGTGGCACAACCATAGGTTTGATGGAGAGCTGACAACAATCCAAGCTTGTCGGGAAGGCCAAGTTCCAGAGAGTTGAGATCATCTCCACCTTTGCCCAGCTCAGGTTCACCAAAGAATTTCAAGGTGCCACTGAGCTTCAGAAGCAGGCATGGCGCAACCGACTGTTGTGTGACCGATCCAACCAGAAAAAGAAATGCCTGCATAATTGGATCATTGATGACCTGGATAAATTTGAGGGACCATTGCAAGCGCCAAACCTTAGAGGACGTTCTTTTTGGACCAACCTAGAGGAGTTGCCGTTTCACTATGCTGTACTACTCCCTGGTCCAAACCTGGCAGAGACGTGCAAATATTTTGTCCGGAGGCTACCTGAACATGAGTTGGGTGTGCTCAAAGAACGTCTTCACAAGCTTGATGGCCAAACCATATCTATTGGTAGTACGTGCAGTGGAAGTGACATCTGTGTGTGCATCATGAAATCCACAATGCAGAAGCTGTCAGAGATGTTTGGGGTGACTTATGCTGATGTTATACAAAAATATGTTCTTTGACAGCTTTTCAACAGCAAAATGTATCTTTGTATACACACATACTTATATACATATATATCATAAATAAAGTGGATTCGGGTTGGGCGTAAAGCTTTTTCTTGAGCTGACGTGTGTTTTCTTTATATATGTAGATAATGTGTTGACTTCATTGTTTTTGATAATGTTAATATTCGTTCTGGGCAGTTCAGGTGAGCATTGCAGTGGAGCACAAATTCAGCGTTGAAGTCGAGCCAAGCAAGCGGGATTTCATCATGGCTGCCCATACTGATCCTGGTCAGAAAGCAAAATATCATCTCTTTGCCGATGTCCGTGTGTTATTTGATCTTTCTGGCCATTGCTACACATGTGACTGCGTTCACGGTGTTCCTCAAGATATTGATTTGCTGTTTTGCGGGCCGTCTTGCAAAAGCCTAAGTAAGATGTTCAACGGACGAGATGCCTTCAAGCAGTGCTACAGCACCGGAGATGGAAGCAGCGGCTACACTTACCTCCACGGACTGGTTGCCGCCACGCGGGTTACCAATCCAGCGGTTGTGTTTTTTTGAGAATGTCCTTGGTGTGTGTGAAGAGCCAAAAATTGATGGAGTGAAAGTTGAACCTGGGACGGAGGCGAGGTTGTCATTCAGAATGCACATAGAATATGTCATGATGTGTCAGTTTTTGAACATATATATATATATTATCTGTCAGGATGCCACTATATATATATGTATGAATATATGACTACTCCACCTGTGTTGCGAAGGTCAAAACTGTTTCCTGAACATTATATTGTAGTTATATATATATATATTTTTAAAAATAATATATATCACACTTTGCTTCACTTCTGGCAGGTAATGAAGAGAGACCTTGCAGAACTTGGCTATGTGTTCGAGTGGACCAAGGTTGATGCCCAGAACTATCTCTTGCCTCAAAGGAGAAACCGTGTCTATGCCACTGGTGATGTGAATTCAGGCCAGAATGCTGCTGATTACCAAAGGCACATGCGAGAAACCATGGAGATGATGTCTTCAGACGCATTGATACCTTTTGAGCTTGTGTTTGATGAGTCCTTGCCAAGACAGCCTGTGCACGCAGGGAGGGTGAATGACAAATTGCAGGAAGCTTTGGAGGATGCATGCTTGAAAGCGCAGTCGCAGAACATCTTCATCGATGCAAGCACCAGCAACTCCCGCGCTGCTGAGTACAATGTGAATGCCCTGACATGTGTTCGACCAACGCGCGGGATCTTCTCTCAGAAGCTCCAAAGGTTTGTCACGGTCTCCGAAATGTGGACAGCACAGGGCATGTTTAAGGGTAAGTTTGCAAACCCTGCTGCTGTAGACAGTATCCTGGAGGAGAACTCATCACTTGCCCAATGTCTAGCAGGCAATGCCTTCGCATCAACTTGCACGCAGGCCAAGGTGATTGCTTCATTGATACACTCTCAGGGCTGGGATGGCTTGACCAACCAGTCTAACCTGTGCACAGCAGACGCTGAGGATGAGTCAGCTGATGAAACCTCCAGTCTTGATCAAAACACATCATCTCAAAGCGGACTGCGATCGGTCTCTGTCAACAGTGGCTCATTGAAAAGGGCATCCTCTTCTTTTGAAGCCCTGCCGGATGAAACACAGTTGGAAACAACCAAAGAGAATCAGATCGTGCAACCAGCCAAAGAGAACCAGATCGTGCAAGTGCAGGAGAGAAAGAGACTGCGCAGATGCTATGGCAAAACCAACCCCTCCAATGCTTACACGTCTGGAGTAGCTACTTTGGATGGGCTTGAGGAGCTTAGATGCCGCAATGCTAAGCGAAAGCGGGGCAGGCCACCAACCAAGAGCCATGATTTGGAGAAGGCAAGAGGTTCTTCACCGCCCAAGAAGAGAAGGTATGTTGCCAAAGCCAAGGTTTCACGAGAAGGAAAGAAACCTTGCATCAGCATTTGGGCAAAGATGAAATTGTTTGAAGATTCTTGATTGACTTTATATATATATTTTCCAACCTTGTATATAGTACTTTGTTATAATTTTGCGCGCTTAGAATATACCAGTGATGAAACCACACCCTAGCCTTCAGAGCTCAGGACTTTGAGACAATCAAATCAGATCCCAGCATTCGCCATCCTGAGAAACACTTCCTTCAAAGACATCGTAGAGCAGGTGCATACCAAGGCTGCTTCAGTAAGTCTCATTGGGGTGGACAACGAGAACGGCAATCTTGGGACCTGATGGTGAAGCACGCTCCGAGATTGGCTAAACTGCACAGTGAGGTCCCGAATAGCTTGAGGGAGGTCTTGAACATCAGCACAAAGAAATGGACTGGAAGCAAGTTTGGAAAGGATCAAGGTCTACATGTTGTGCCAAGGCCACTGGCATCTGCGTTGGAACACATAGCCATGGATCGAATTGAAGCAGGAGAAGAGCTCGACTTTGACTTCATGGAGAGCGCGCTAGTGCTCCTGATAAAGCTTTGGAATGAGCGGGTGGAATCATTGGAAGCAGGCGTGCGGTCTACTGTCGGGAAACAAATCTTGGAGAAGCAAGA